TATGACCATCTGTGCAGACTTGTCTAGTTTACTTAGACATGCTGTCTGCCATGAAGGATTTTAATACAAGTCACCACTACATGTTGCACAAAGCTAAATCTGAGAAGTTTAATGAAATCACAAGACCATAAACAGCAGCCACTTTTTACCAGAACCAGCAGGATCTGCACTCAACACGTCTTATGCTGCTGCCCTTCAGCTCTCTAAAACATGTTATTTTTGTTTGCGTCAAATGCATTGATACAGTATTTGTTAAACAAGAATACAACTGTTATTCATGCATCTGAACATGAAATAAGTTACTGCYCCTTATGTTGGTTTAATAATTATACACAAACATTTTTAAAATGGCAGTTTTATTACATTTGGTAAATTGTGGCCCCTTCCATCATTTAAGTTGCCCATCCCTTATCCAGGATAAAACACTGTATTTGGCAGCACTTATTTGGCAAATCTCTTCAGTAATCTTCGTTTGGTTTTGATATTTTGCAAAGAAAAAAAACAAACAAACAAAAAAACACCTAGCTGATTTGGTGTCTTGTGTTTTACCCAGAGTGCTTTGCCTGCAGCGTTTTCCATCATGAAGTAGCCTGAGCGGGGCGGGGCTCGCAGGTATCGCGCTCGCTGCATACTGGGCCAGCAGTCCCAGCCCGCTCTCCTCACAGCCACCATCGTCGGAGTCCGACTCGTCCTCATCCTCCTGCTCGTCCTCTGAYGTCTCTGTGCCAGAGAGAGAACCCATCAGCTCACAGACAAATACGGCTGCTTACGCATTCTAATAAATGCAAGCGGTCAGAGAGAATCTAAACCAACAAACAACTGATGGATCTTATAGTAAGAATTAATCTGCGCCGTCACACGTCTGAACGCAGCAGTTGGTGAGAAATAACAGCAGAGTCAGAGGAGATACACTGTCCAAACCACTGCAGCCTGCCATCACACAGGGAAGCTGCGCAGGAAAATACAGGAGAGCCAGACTTGTGTTTTAAACATGCATGTGAGCAACACACACACACACACGCACGCACGCACGCACACGCACACACACACCTGCTGAAACAGAGTGAGTCAAAACTTTTAGGCTTAGACACCTTTTATTATAGGGAAAAAAATTTACCAGGGAGAGGTGAAGGACTCGCTTTCCTCTGACAAGCCAGCAGAGAAAAGGCCAACACACAAACTCATACTCACACTCACACACAAACTCATACTCACACTCACACACACACACACACACACAGAGCTGGTTAGCTGTTCATTACAGAAGTTAGCAGTTAGGTCCATGGCAGCAGATGAACAGAGGAGCGTCTCCTCGGGGGGCGGGGTTAGTGTTAACATTGAAGGTGGTTGCACAGCACAGGATCTCCTGAAACCAAAACATCTGTTTGAAAAAGTTGGAGAATCTTCAAATCAGGCCGTTTCTGATTCCTACAAAGGGGGGCCGCCTCACAAACGTAAGAACCAAGGATTAGAGAAGAAAGCCGGGCTTGACTGAGTCGAGTCAGAACACCTCAGACTGAACTGGTTTTACAAACGCAGAGTGGTTTAGTTAACAGCAACAGTAAACAGGTCTGGATTAGCTTTCTTCTGACCAGGATAAATCTCCATGCTAACATRGGTGTTAGCTGCTTTTGTAAAACCAAGCCAGACATATATTAACATGGAAAACTCAAGTTTTGTAAAACAGCCCCCAGGACCATTTGTCACTTAGAAAACTAAATTTTACAAGTTAAAACAGACCGGTGCTGTGCTGTGAATCCACTGTGTTAACAYGAGCAGACAGACGTTACAAGCAGGCACTGAGAGGACAGCCCTGTGAGGCCCCTTTGGCAAAATGCTCGTATGTCACTTGAGCAACCATGGTTACAGCCTCTCTTTCAGTCCAACACAGAACGCCTTCCTGCAAACTTCAAGCCGTCAGGGGACACCGAGTTGGACAAGCAGGGGGTAACCATGGTTAGCACTTAAGAGATTCAATTCATGAACAACAAAAAACAAACAAAAAGTAAACAAGATTTTAAAAAGGTAAATAAATGTGTGTGCATTTTACTTTCTGTTCATGTTAGTGTTTATTAAAATARAAAGGGAGGGGCACAGCCTACTTACAGAGCAGGTGACAGGGGTGTGGCCTCAGGCAGGGGCGGGGCAGCGCCGTGACGGGAGCGCGGCCTCGCCTTTAGCACAGACTAGCTTGCGCAAAGCCTTTAGCCACAGKGTGGGATCGCCGCAGCGAGGTCGTGTAGGCTCAAGGCTGCGCTAGTCCTGCCCAAGCTTCTGTAAAGTCGCAGTAGCAGCAGCACAAGCATATGGAACAGGCTGAGAGACACTCAAAGCATCATGGG